TATATATATATATACACACACACACACTTAAATTTACTCAATTTCCTTAATTTTATGTGCTAATGAACCATTAGGGTTAATTGAATTATGATGAATTGGAACATGATGCATAAAATTTTAAGTTTTAACCTTAGTTAGACTATCACACACTTTTATTTAAGTGCTCCTTAGGGGTATAAGTAAGTCGAGTTGGATAAAATTTAGATGAATACATTACTCGATCTGATCAAAATTCAATGAATTGAGTCGGGTTAGATTTGTGCATTTTTTCTTGAGATCCAACTTAACTCAACCCAACCTGATTATGAACAAGTTTTATTGAATTGGGTCAATCAGATTAAACATAATTAAATTTATTATTTTTTTTTGTAAAATTTTAAATATTTTATAATAAATGTAAACCATTTGATATTTTATTTTAAATGTAATATTATAACTCATAAAGTAAACAATTGATATAAATTAAATTCTAAAATAAATTTGTTGATTTTTTACATTATTAATAACTTAAACAACTGACATTAATACAAAATAAAATTTAAAATAAATATGATTTATTATTGCAATACTATCAACCCAAAAACACAAAACATGTTATTGACTAAGAGTGACAAATAGTCATATCTTGAACAAGTGATCATCCATTAACTAAGTTATTATTTTTATTATAATAAATACAAACCACTTGATATTTTATTTTAAATGTAATGTTATCAACTCACAAAGTAAATAATGATGCAAATTAAATTCCAAAATAAATTTGTTAATTTGTTAATTGTTATTAACTCAAACAACTAACACTAAGACAAAATAAAATTTTAAATAAATATGATTTATTGTTATAATACCATCAATCCAAAAGCACAAAACATGTTATTGACTAAGAGTGACAAAAAGTAATATGTTGAATAAGTGATCATCTATTAACTAGCTTATTATTATACTTATTTTTATTATATATGACTAGGTTGAGTTAGATTATGAATCAAAAAACACAAAACATGTTACCCAATTCGTACAATGTCGAATTTTGTTCAGATTTGATTGAGTTTGATCTGAATACTAAAAAAATCCGATTTAAATTCATTGAATCGGTTTGACTTAGTTTAGGTTCATGAGTTATCTGTACTTGCTTACACTTTTATTGCTACTCATATTTTTCTCTCATTCATTTAAAGTAATTATGTCTATTTCGCTTATTTTTAAATATTTTTCTGCTATATTTTTTTTAAAGTTTTATATAGATTAAAACATACGAATGCAATACACAAAATACTTGCTAGTTATATGTTAAAATGAACCGGTGAACTAAACTATTAATTAAATTTTAAATTGTAAAAAAATTGTAAATTCAATCTATTTCGTGAGATTTATTTAAAGCAAGATTGGATTATAAAATTTAATAATTTTATTATGTTCAACACCTAATATTAATTAATTCACATTTTTTTTATTTATACTCTATATTAATAATAAAGAAATTCCTTTTGGATGTACATAATTTTGAAAATTTTTATCTTTATAAATTCTATCTTATATTTTATTTTACATTTTATAACTATTTAAAAACTGTTCAAATTTATCGATTATCAACCATTAATTATTATTAATTTTATTTTTACTTATTTTAAAATAGACGAAAACATGAACAACTTTTTACGTTAATATACATAATACAAGTATCAAGTTAAGACAACATTTCTATTAATATTTTTCTATAAGAATAATGATATAATTCAAACTTTAAGACGCTGTAATTAATTTCACCACCAATAGTGTTATTTTTATATATATATTTTTATTATTATATACACAGACAAAAATTTTACTCAACGCAAAAATAACTTTCACGCATAGGAACTTAGACGCAAGTCTGACTTCAAACTTATTAATTCTGTCTCATTAGTGGCAAACGCATTGCGATTGCGCGGTTGAACGCGATTTTCATGTTGCAAACAAACATGACTTTAGATTGATCAACGTAATAAAGCATGCAAACTTGGAATGTAAAATAAGTAACAATAAACAGAGAATACAACACTTAAAAAAATGCCAAAAAGTGTGTTACTGTCGTATTGCAATTAGAATCAAAGATGAATCATGAATTTAGAGCAATAAAGATGAATGATAAGAAAATATGAAAAAAAAAAAAAAAAAAGTCTCTGATTAATGTCCCCAGATTCCCCCACCCACAAAAATCACGTTGGCCCATAAAAGGGAAAGTCAAAAAAGAAAAACAGAAAATTATCCATTCATGGAAGGACACGTGTCACATCACCCTTGAGCAATGATAATTATGATTCGGAATCTACCCTCAAGCTCGTTCCCACACTGTCCCATATATACCGCACTCGCATCGCTCACACACACCCAACACAAACACGAGGGGCATTTCCTATAATTCACACACAACCCATACGGTGTCGTTTCGTTCCTTTATTCTTTTCCCGCACCAACCCAAAAAAAAAAAAATACAAGCTAACCCTAGATTTTTCCCCCTTTCGTCTTTAGCCGCGTTTTCCGATCTCAATTTCTTTTCCTTCCTCCCTCGATTCCACCCCCAATTTTGCCGCCAACTCCCCAATCGATTCTCCCTTCGCCTGCCTCTCGATTTTCTTCGCCGATCGATCCCAATTTTGGCCCCGTCGGTGCACGGGATCCGTTTCTAGGGTTTCCGTCGCGGAATATTCTTGATCTGTTTTTACCAATACGGGATCTGCAAGGGGGAATTTTCTATTTCCTTTCGGTTCTGGGTCTTTGTCTCTCGCTCCGTTTTATGCGATTTTGTGTAAATTATTTTTGGCGCGTGTTTGATTTGGGGTCGATCCTTCGGAAACTTGGTTTTGGTTGTTAGATCTCGCGTCCGGTTATTCGATTCGGTTCGAATCGTAATATTTGTCCGTCGTTCTCGTCGGATTCCTAAAGATCTAGGGTTAGGGTTTTCCCGAAATTGGGGCTTTTCTTGTTTTGTTGAATTTCTTAGGGGAAACTTCAATTCCTTTAGTATTTGGGACTCTCCCGTTTGATTACGTCCAATTAGAGCTATTAATTGTCGGATTCAGCCGCGTGCCGTATAATTTAACGGAGACCGGTTTAAGGTATAATAAATACATCATTATTATTGTTATTATTATTATTATTGTGTCAATTATTATTTTTTTGTTTTCTTTATTGTGGAAGTTTCTTTCAATTTATTTTTAATTTTCTTATAAGTTTGGGAGTGATGTATGCCTGCATTTTTTTTAGAGTAACTAATGTCAATTTACCAATTTGTCTCTAAAAGTTGCAATTACTAATGGTGTTCACTGGGCTCTGATTGTTCCAGGAAGTGATGCCTTGGTGATTGGGCCCACTTTCCTTTCATGTTTATGATATTAATGTTATGTCAGAGTTACATATTCTTATTCAGGACCGGGGGTCAACACCTAGTCTTCTACTTATTGCTCTTTAAATGTTGCTGTTGTATAAATGCTCAAAAATATTTGTTGTTACGTAGAACAGTGTATGTTTTTATATAAAAGTGTTCTGCAATCTGCTCAAGTGATTTGATTAGTAGCAGTTTTTACTATTACCAGCTTGTTAGCTTACACTCAGCCAACAGGCTAATAAAATTTTAGAGTATGTCTATAGTGTTGGAAGGTTGCCAACCAATGTCCAATATTGGTTACACAGTTTTAAGTATACTGATGGAGGAAAGTGGATCTTATTGGTTTAGATATAAATGTTGTCGCAATGTCTCAGTAGCTAGCAGACAAATTTTATATTACATGCATCATCCCTCATTCTGTAATGTTTTTACCTCTTAATTTCTTTGTGCTATCTCCTTTTTTTTTAATTTATTTTTTATGCGTGAATACCAGAATAATTTACTATGATTTTGATGCATTAAGGTGGTTGTCTTATTCTATATAGAAACCTGTCCTGCAGGTAATCATGGTGCAGAAGCGTCCTTTTGATGCTGAGGAAATACTTGAGGTGTCCTTCAAACACCCAAAACATGTAGGGCCGAGCAATGAGCTTGTTTCATTATCAGAATATGTTTTCCCCAATGATGATTGTGATACCCACATGCCTAAAACATCAGGTGTGTTAAGTTGACTATCTTTCCAAGGTTGAGCATCAACTGGCAAATTTGAACAAAACATATGCATTTCAATGAGTTTCTGTTTTTGTGATAATTGAACTTTCAAGATAATCACTTGTTCAACTCTGGTTTTCTTTGTCAACCATTTTGACTGTCTTGTTTTTATATCTGTTTTCCCCACAATTTTGTGTGATTTCATTATATTACTTAATGCGATTAGAGAGTAACTTGCCTTACTGCCAGCGTATTTTCTTATTTGTCAGTTAATTGTATAATTTATCTATTACTACTTGATCATGAAAAGTACATTTGAATGCTACTGTCTTCTGACATCTTGTTGTGGGACTTGGAGATGAGAAAATTGAAGGATTATTTTGTTGTTTTTTGCCTTTTAAATTTTTTATTTAACCATCGATGGAATGTATTCTGATCTAGTCTACATTATAATTTGTAGAGGACGGATGTAACCCAGGTAGTAGTGAAGGTGAAGGTAATGAGAACATTGGAGATGAAAGTTTTGGTGAAATTCCTAGAGAAGATGGGAACTCTGAAAGAAGCTTTCCAGTTACGGACATTCCTGCTTCTTCTTGGGACCCCTGTAGCACAACTGAAGATCTCCACCTAGAACCACCATTACATCTCGCCTTATTTCCAGAGTATTTTAGTCCAGAGCGACCGATAAGGACATTAACTCGCTATGAGGACATATATTCCATACTCCTTGAAAACTCTCCTCGCAAACCTGTATCTGTTGGAGCAAATCATCAAGCTGATGTTCCAGCATGGGATTTTTTTGGTGCCACTGATAGACCAAATGCCTCTGATGCTGTTTCAGATTTAGACTGTGCTGTTGGGAACAGGGATGAAGCTGAGAAAAGACTAATGGGGACCTGTGTAATCCCTATGCCTCAGATGGAGTTATCTAGCAATGATGATGAAGTTGGAAAGGGAAGAACTGACTGTAGTTGTGAAGATCAGGGTTCAATGAGATGCACCAGACAACATATTGCCGAAGAAAGAGAAAAACTTATACAAACCTTTGGACCTGAGAAATTCACTGAATTGGGCTTCACTAACATGGGAGAACAAGTGGCAGAAAAATGGAGTGTTGAGGATGAACAGCTATTTCACGAGGTTGTTTTCAATAATCCAGTAACCCTTGACAAGAATTTCTGGAACTATCTTTCCATTGCTTTTCCTTCACGAACCAAAAAGGAAATAGTGAGTTACTACTTTAATGTCTTCATGCTTCGAAGGAGGGCAGAGCAGAATAGGAACGACTTATTAAACATTGACAGTGATAATGATGAATGGCAAGGTAGTGAAGGCAATGATATTGCAACACGAGAGGAAGATGAGGACTCTGTTGCTGAGTCCCCTGTATGTCAAGATGAGACTTGTATGACTGACTTCCATGATAATGATCTGCAAGCCTATAATGAGTATGCTGATGATGAAACCTGCACAGCTAATGGAACAGTGGATTTTACCCATACAAACCTAGATGATGATTCCAAATATGATCATGTAGAGATGCATCACTCTAGTGTTTCTCCACTAATTCAACACCAGGATCATCCTGTTTGGCAGGATACAAGTGATGAAAAAGTTAAAGATGATTCACGCCCATCATCTGACATAGGAGTTGTGTCACAGGAGACAAAGGTGAAAACTGAAAATGGTGATCATTGGTGTGGTAACTATAATAATGGGGTAAGCAATGGTTATAGCCAAGGATATGTTTTGGAGCCTTGTGATACAAAAGTGTGGGATTCTGGCTTTGTATCATGCTCAAAAAATAAGATTGACTTCTTACCTACATGCAACATGATAGAAGAGGTTTTCGGAGATGGACGAAGGCAAGACATGAGAAGAGCTTGAGCATCCTAGGCTTATATGTGAAGTGAATCTCAGTTAGCATTCTTTGCTAAGGGTGACGAAACTTCGACTTTTCTTTTGTATATTTGACATAAGATTCAAAAAGTAACCTTCATTGTAAAATAGTGTTTTGGAAGGTGAGTTGGTCTGAGTTATGTCGTCCCATATATTCTCAAGTTCTTTTGGAACTGTAAAATTTCTTATTCCTTAATTTATGATAGTCTCCACTTTGGGGTGGGATATAAGATTGGAGGGAGGAAATAGTTGGTGGAAAAGAAGCCATCACTGATGTAAGAGTTCCGGTTTTATGATGTAATTTGGCATTATTTAATCATTAATGAGAATTTTCATTGGTATATTACTATATTTTGCTTTCTTTCATTTAGTTGAATCCCTAGTGGAACTATGAGCAACTCCAATTTTTTATTATTAGTTTTCATATCATTTATATTTTAAAGTGTCAATTATTTTGAGAAATAGTTCAATTTTAAGTTGATTTTATGTTAAATGTTCATGTAATTAATAGATCGATAATTCATTATCAATTGCCTTTTTTGTTTTATGTTGTCTTGACAGTTTCAATTCATATGTTTATGGTATGTTACCATAAACATATTGGTAAGTTGATTATGTTGATTGGTTGATGGTGACATCACTAAACTCATTAATTTGTGAAATGTTGAAGTTAATAAATTAAAAACAGATCTGCAGAGAAAATTGTTCAAACCTCAGCAAAGTTAGCTCTTCTATCAACCATTTATTTGGAAAGTGGATCTGGTGGAAGATATTACTTTATATTGTTTTTAGTTTCATTATCTGCCTTATAATATTGTTTGCGAAGACATGAGAGCATTCCTCCCCTCCCCGGCTGGAAGCTCATATGGCCTTCTTTATTTTGATGATCACTTCTGTGGACTCATTTTTCTTCGATAAAGAAGTGAAAGGGGAACCAGATGCGTATGGTCTGATTTCATGTGCTGCATTTGCCATCATGTCCCTTTGCTTGGCAAGACTGATTCATTTTGGATTTGAGGTTGGTCTTTTATACTTTTTCAGCGGTGTTCTAACTGTACAACTCATGAAAATAAAATTTTGGTTAGTCATTGTTGGAGGATTTTTTAGTTATTCCCTCATCATTCTTAGTTCCAACAAGAAGCGAGTATCATGGACTCCAAGACAGAGATCATATAGATGTTGAAGTAGGTCTGCATTCACAATCACAAGGGACATGAGTCGGTCCTAGTGCTCCTCAATGGGATTCACATTGACCCCAAGATATCATTATTTTGGCACAAGAGTCTGATAATGGTAGTGATAATAGTATAGTGACACAGTTCATGGGTATAGAGGCACTTAAGAAGGAGAATGAGAACGTTATGGGCTCAATTTTCAAGCATATAAAGAAATACCTTGAAGCTAATCTTGTGATTAAGGACAATAAAATTCAATTGCCGGGTCTGCTTTCGTTGTGGATTTGTTGACTAAGGGAATTGTCAACGACCTCAGTGAAAGCGCAAGGCTGATGGTGACAACAGGATTAAAGGAGATATGCTTACATGTGTATTTTACTAGCCGGAGAGAGTTTTTAAGCTAGCTATTTAGATTGCGTCGAAAGAGCTCAACCGGGAAGACATTGACATGGTAGTGAAGACACAGTATTGGATGAAAGCTTTGTATGCAGCTAATATGATAATTTTACCCAACGAATGGAGACTTTGTGAAGGCGTCTTCGCAGACTCCATTGCTCTCTTTCAGAATGAGTACCCAGCATTTCGTGGAATATATGATTTCGGGATTGCCAAGAGTTTGAGGATTTTGGGGTACTTGTTAAATCTTACTTATATTGTTAAGGGGAAAGCCATTGTTCCCGGGGGTGGGCTTCATTAGATTACCTATCATGGGTTGGACTATTATACTAAGATATTATATGAGGATTTGGTATGGATTATAAAGAGGGAATGTTTTCACTGTACGGGCACTTGGCCACATTACCAGACCTGTTTGACAGCAGTTTGGAAGCCATCTCCAAGAATTACAATAACCCAACTTTGGGTTATGTTTTCATCATCAACAATCGGAGGTTCATAGAGTTTAGGAGGGCGTGGATTGAGTGGTATTTTTAGTGTTGATTGGCTCCGAAAAAACACAAAATCTAACAAAACCTTGAACTCTATCAGAGAAGCTCCTGGAATAAGATTTTGGACATTTTGAAGCTAGACATCAATGAGTCAGAGCCTAATGTCGCGGTGGAGTTGTTGAAAGACAAACTCCACTCCTTCAATGAACTATATGCAACATTCAGGCTACGTGGGTTGTTTTTAACGAGCGGTTAAGGAAACTACTAATAAAATCTGCAGAGAACATCTTGTTGCCAGCATATGTAATATTCATTAGGAGGTCGCAGGATTTTCTTGGTAATGAATCTTACAAGCACATTAAGTATGGAATATTTGATGTCCAAGATCGACTCAACAACTTGTTTCTTGTAAGGAAGTAGATGAATGAATCCAATGTCTGGAAGAGAAGGAAAGAATACACGACCTGCAAAGGATATGTGTCTTCTGTTGTATATACCACTGTACGTCTCCACGGTCCACACAAAATCCGAAATGTGTGTTTGCCTTTTAATTTGTTTATAAAATGTCTGGACTGGGCTGACCAAGCTACTGGGACTAAAAAGTAGAACACCATAATAATAAGAAGCAGGGGAACTTTAGAGATACTTTTCAGTTTAAAGTGGGACTTTCTTCCTAATCAACTCATTAATCAGGGAAGACATTTATGCAATTCTGATAAGAGGCATCCGCGTGTATTGTCACACCATCGAAATCATAGTTATCACCAAATGGAAAATGCAACAAGTCTGTTACATGTCCCAGGGTCTGCATCTTTCTTTCTCCTAGCATCATATTTTTTAGTTTTTTGATATGTTTTGTAAGATATGTTTATTTGACCATAGTTTATTTATAACAATATATTTTTTTTTCAAACTAAAAAAGTAAGAGCAATCTATCATAGAAAGCAAGGCATGTGGATGATTCAGTATTTCCACGGAAGTGGGTCTAATTTCATGCATTGAGACTTCTAGCTTCTAGGAGGTACAACCAATGTTGTTGATGTGGCCCTCATAGCCAAGTAGTGGTATAGCTCATTATGTGACAACTTCAATCTGGAAGCATCATGGTTAAGGTGTGGTGGACATTGATTGTATTGCTATTGTGTCTGCTGTGCTGGAGCAAAAATGGTGTACTTATATATCTTTTTTTGTTTTCCTCAATTAGCCTATGAATTTATGATTTTATGGAGACAATGGACATTCAACTTTTTCTTAATGAAAATAGTACAGAAGAAACACTTTATAGAATGAATTCTCAAACTTACAGTCAAAGAACTAAGTCTTTTAATTCAGTAATTGTAAAGTCTGTTCTTGAATATGAAGACTCGATCTAGTGCTCTTAAGTTCAATTTCTATTTGTTAAAATAATGTTTGACCAGTAGAAATTACATTCCTTACGAGCAATAGATTAGTCTTTGATTGTTAATTTTGAAACATTATGTGGACTATATTTATAGAAAAAAAAAACTCACGTTCAAAGCGCTGCATCTTTGAAGCCATAAAGGTGTCTTTATTGATCTTCTCTTTCTTGAAAGCAAGTGCTTACTATCATGAATTTGTCTCAAATACTTTTCATTCACAATTTCTTTTGTATAAACCTTCGTTTTTTTCTTTTTCTACGTTATTAGTTGAAATATGAATCTGTTTTATGACAGTTTTTCATTGTATAAGATAATATATCATTCTTATCTTTCAAGTCAATGTAGTAATTTTTACAGTTATTGATCTTGCTTAACTATAATGGGCAATGGCTACTACGCCATCTGCCATGCACTATATATGTTTTTGGGGCTTGTTGCCATTGTGGCCATAAGCCATTGGCAACACTGCGTGTTTGCATGAACTTAAAATATGAAATCCCCGAATATTTAATCATATAATTTTATGCATACAACGACAACTAAGCCTTTTCTCACCATTTGGAAGGGTTAACTTCATGAATCTTCTTATGCCACAAATTTTCCCTGTTAGCACGAAAATTGTTGATCGATATTTTATGGCTGAGTGCTATGTAATTTCGAAAATGGTTGGGAAAGACGTTACCCCATATATGGCTCTTGGCTGTTTGTTAGTGACATCAGCTAATGACTGTGACATGAGTGATGCAGCTAAAGGCTAAAATGACAGTTATAACTGCCTTGAAGAGATGATCTTGAGTATGATGTGGTCACCCACTATGAAAATTGACGTTTCCATTACGTCCTAATGAAGTTATAATTAAAGGATGACAGTTGTCAAATGCAAAAAAGTGCCTATTTTGAAAAGGGGAGGGTAGTGGATAGTTTTTCTTACTACCAGATAAGAATATAAACATGGGAATTGAAGTTGTAAAGAAAATCCACGATCAATATGTGTGGATATTTTGTGATACGGGTTGGTTCATATCTGTTGAGATTACTTTCATTCTTATTTCTTTTGGTCATTGTATTAGGAAGCAATTACAATTATCTTGGAAAGTAATGATATAGTACACACTTCATAAAGATAATTCATGTGTTGACTGATTTACTATTCATGATACTTATTTTCAACATTGAAACCGGTGTCTACCTTAGCTAACTTCTATATATTGTTGTATGATACTATAGGAAAATTGTACTTGAAACTATAATTTTTTTCTTGCTTGTTATTAGTAATTCTCACTAAAAAAAAAAAAAACCATGATTAAAATCGACGAATTTATCCTATTTCTTTTAAGCTATTTGTATATTTCCCTTCTAAAGCTTTGGTTTAAAGTATATTGTCAACTTTTAGCCATTTATTGCTTTTAGTATTACATTCAGCCTTAAGAAGCTCTTTGCAGTGGGATAGAGACCCAATCAAAAGACAAAAATTTCTTTTTGAAGTGAGAATTTTTAGTGTTAACCAAGATAAGGACCAACAAATTTTCACACCAACAATCTCTTGCATTAACAAAAATAGACTCGTTACTTCTAAGTTTGTCTTAATGGCTATAGTTTTGTTTAGCCTTTCTCTGTTACCATCCTTATTGATAAAGGTGAAAATAGGCTAGTTTGGTTAGCCTTTACCCTAAACCCTAAAGACCTTGACCTTAATGAAAAATACAAGACCTAAATTTGATTTATTTATTTATCTTAAGTCTTCTTTTAAATATTTGGTCTAATATAATAAAAGTCTAACAAATTCTACAAGTATGTTTAAGGTTTTTTTTTAACAATAATTTAACACTAATATGAAGGTAAAAGTAAACATTTTTAATATGACATTCATTGACTATGATAACTTTTCC